GATAAATAGATAGACAGATAGATAAACAAAGAGAGGATGCGCCCGTAGGGACCCCATCGAGAGAGCCCTAATTTTCCGAAGCGCATCAAGGCAAAATCAGAAAAATGCCGACAATGCGAGACACCACTGTCTTAAAGCTCATTCGGATATAAAGTACACAGCTTTTTGTGGCGACCTACTATAATCGGAATCCATGGGCAAACAAAACATACCACTGAACAACCGATCACAACCTCTAGCCCGGATCTCCCTCGAGTCTCGCACCTGCGCCTTGCCGGCTAAGAGGGCACGAACCACCTGGACTCCGTCTGTTTTAGGAATAACGGCCCTTTCTCCCGGCTTGAAGGAGGCTGGCTTCGGGATTAGGGGTAAATTAGGGCATCCCTTCGCCCTGCTGTTCTTGGGTTCTGCTTCAAGGTGAAGGCGTTTTGGGTCGAGGGGTTTAGCTGAACCCTAAACCCTAAACCGAGTTTAGCTCTCTTTGGTGGGGATCCAGGGTTCAAGGTGCACGTCGGCTCAGCAAAGCCCCGACCCCAAGCCCCGACGAAGCCCAGGCACTGAAGTCTGGAACCCTTACAGGTCCCTTATGGATCCCTTACAAGGCCCTAATGGAGTATTTATAGAAAGCCAAAACAGGAACAACCTCAGACGTCCTTTATCATCACCCCTTTAGACATGGGTAGTTCTCTAAAACAGGGTCCCTTTTTAGGTCCCCAATATAGTGCCGCACCCTTATAAAAAGAGAAAAGTGCACTCTCACAGTGTCCCGTTTTGTATAGAAACGGATCCCAAAAGGGACCCTAATTTACAAAACTACCCACATGGGTTTTGGGATTTGGGTTTTCTCAACAAAAGGCGCCTGCTCGTGCCCGAGGAAAGCCGCCACTTGCAGTGCCGTGCGGCCAATCTGGATGTTGTCCTGGGACCTTGAGCAACACATGGGTAGTTCTCTAAATGAGGGTTTCTTTTAGATTCCTTTCTCTAAAGGTGCCGTACTATATTGGGGACCTGAGAAGGGAGCCTAATTTCAACAACTACCCACATACTCCAAGGTACCCCTAAACCCTAAACCCTCCATGTTCTTGAATCGCCCCTTCTCTGTTCGGCATTTCAGGGGTCTAGGCTTTGTAAGGAGGAGGCTATGGAGGGCCCAGGGTTCGTGCGGTTAAGGTTTAGGGTTTAGGGTTTAGGGTTTAGGTTTTAGGGTTTATGGTTTAGGGTTAAGGGTTTAGGGTTTAGGGTTTAAGGAAATATAAACGAGTCTGGCCCGATAGATCCCGAACCCTGAACTCCTCATCCCGAGGAAAAAAAGAGCCTACGCGCGAAGACTCCACAAGCGGTGCCTTAACACCCTGCTCCGTGTATTAAAGAACAAAACAAGGCTTGAGTTAAAGAGTCGAAACAAGGTTTGAGTTTGAGGCACTATTTATTGTACTACGCGTATTTGAGGGGGATAGGGTCAGAGTTCATATTATGCCTACTATTCCGACCCCAGGAGTAAGATTCGACGACCCGGCCTGACCCACACATGCGGGCATGCCTTCTGCTCCAGCAGGTACTTCGCAATGTGCGGCTGATCGAAGTAACTGGCCTGCTTTGGAGTCACAGGTGGTTGGGCAACCCTAAAGTCCTAAAGCATAATTAGAGCGTTTAATTCTTAGTCTGTTTTTTGCGTCTGGGGCTCGATTCTGAATCTGTTTGTTGATGATTCTGCTCGGGGACGCTGGGGTGTAGGGATTGCTACAGCCCACTTTTCTTCCCAACTAGCGCGTTTGATGAATCGGTTGGGATGTCTTTGGGGCGATCGGAACTTCCCTATCTTGGTGCAGCCTTTCGACTTGTTCCACGCCAATGACTTCTGACTTACCTCAGCTGTGCTATCTGCGAAGGTAGTCTAAGGCTTCCAAAAGCGGATTGAACAAGAAATGCCCTACATGTCGAATATTTGTAGGGGAGCCAAAGGTTAACTAGGCCTTCCAATTTTCGAAGGCCAAGACGATGTCGCAACGGCCCAAGGTTGCTTACGACTATATGCGGACCTCATAAAGCAGCGTTCCATTCGGCTCAGTGTCAAACTTGATCAGTCGGCCCGTTAGATTTGCCTGACATGGTCCGGGCTTCATTTTTTCGGTTAGGGTTTAGGGTTTAGGGTTTAGGGTTTAGGGTTTAGGGTTTAGGGTTTTGGGTTTAGGGTTTGGGAGAAGCCAACCTCAACCCTGAAACCCTAAACCCAAAGCCTGCGGTACGGCTATGGGATGCAGGTCAGGACGGCTTGGGGTTTAGGATTTCGGCCTTGAGCTTTCGTACGGTGGTAGGGTTTAGTGGGTTTGGGCATTTCGGCGGTTCGGGTTCTGGTTTCTGATTAAAGGCCTAAACCCATAAACTCTAAGCCTGAACCCATACTTGTACCCTTGCACTCGTTTAATCGAAGAGGTAGAACCGGTACATCAGGTAGTAGAGCACCACCTGCGCCAGGTGAGCCAAGATCGTGGGAGATGCCTGGCCCATACCGGAACCTTAACAATCAGAAAAGGGTTTTGGCATATAACGTACAGAGGATAAGTGAAGACTGTTAGTGACGTTTGGCAATGCAACCGACCCTATATAACGATTTCGGGAAAACAAGAACTTTCGCAGGTTGTGATACAGCGAAATCTCTTTGATAACTTCGCACTGGTTGTATACAAGGTTCAACGATGTACCTTTAGTCCTCAGTTCCAAACCTGGACATCAAAACACTGAATCCTGAAATCCCGAAGCTGAACAGAAGGCAGTGCTCACATTCTTCCACTCAACCGTAGCGGTCGTCTCATACTTTCGGGCCCCAGTGATTCCTGTAGCATCGGAGCCTGAATAAGTCAAACAGGCCAAAAAGGCGGTGGGAATATACTCAAGGGGCGGTCAAGAAATAATGGCGGCTCCTGATTTCTTCAAACCCGCGTAGTATGCGTGTTGCGGCTTTGGCTTAAGGGATTAGGGATTTTGAACTTGAACATATATTCGCCATCCCTGAACCCTAAATCCACAAAACTGAAACGCAAACTTCGCAGCAAGCCCTACGACTGGCAGCCCTAGTATAGATTCGAAATAGCAGAGGTCGTACTTGATGTCAGAATACCCGGCAGGGCGAACGGTATGAAAACTAATCCGAAAACTACACCACTCCGCAAGTTAGCAAACCCTAAACCCTAAACCCTAAACCCTAAACCCCTAAATACTGATTTGCAGGGGGGGGCCTTCTGCCTTGCGGACAATGCAGTCTGCCTCAGTCGAGCATGCCCAGAGACAAGGCTGCAATATGAGGGGGCTTTAGTTAAGCCGAGGGCTTTTGGTAGGGCTGTGTAATTACATGGCTGGCGAGTATAGGGATACTGCACGAAGGTGGGGCACCGATAACCTCAAACTCTAATTCCAAAACCCTGTTTCGGGTGATAAGGAAGCCTGAAAAATATCCGGAGTAAGAGGGGTGGGACATCACCCATCGTGCGGGCATGTCGAAGCTGAGAAGGGCCATTCGTTCGACTCGAGACCTTATAAGCCCCAGAGGCCTATCTTGTATATGTGGACAACCAGACGTCCTACATGTTGAGGGCTTCCGGACTTGGTTTAGAGAGGAGAGCTCACAGAAAGTTAGGTTTTTTTTGTTTTTTTGCAGGGGGGGGGGGGGGGGAGTTGAGGATCTTCATCGTATAGGGTCTGCAGTTTAGGTATTTGGGAGTCCCTCACCCTGCGTGATAAAGTCCTCTAAGGATGGGCAGTTGCTTCGTGGGACAAGGCCACACCCCGATTGGTGAGTCCCAGTCACCTGTCTGAAGGGTTTAGGGTTTAGGGTTTAGGATTTAGGGTTTAGGGTTTAGGGCTTAGGGTTTAGGGTTTAGGGCCTCAAAAAGTGCGAGAGATGCAGGTAGGCGGGATAAAGGATTAGGAATTAAAGGCACCAGGGTATCATTTATTTACATACATGCAATGCACCGAGGCTGTGGGCTTTAGATTCAGGATCCCTGATACAAGGTCCTTTGTTGGGGATTCCGGACGTGCGTGCATCCCACATATGGAGCCCTTGTTTTGCTCAAAGGTGGCAGCGACAACTTCCAATCCGCTGTACAAGTCTGATCGTCTATCGATCTGCGGACAGGGCGTCATCGCGCGCCTCTGCACATGCGTCCATGCGACGCTATGACCCTCACAGCACGAGCTGCTCCTGATTCCGGCTTACGGGTTGATTTGGGTTTAAGGGCTTTCGAGTTTAGACTAGGGCTTGAGGGCTAATGTAGGGGCCTTCATAAGGTAGAATAGGGTGTTGGGGTCCATTCTAGTATATTTATAATAAGGACCCCCCCCCCCCTCAAAAAAAAAGGGATTGGTAATTATTGAGGCCCCTAATCCCTAAACCGTCATGGCGAACAAAAGGATTTTCGGGCTCAGGTCCTGCGGAGATGCCAAATACTCCTCCACAGTGAAATTCTTTGCGCCTCCATAAAAGTCGATGAAGAAGAAGCTGGAGATGTTCTCTTTAGCCATCCAATATGGCCTCTGTTCTTCAATCACGGGGCCCAAACAAGAGCAAACATTCTAACAAAGACCAAATACGCTCAACAAGTTTAAGGTTCTCCCACTAGCTATCTAAGTTGAATGATACTTGATTGAAGTGCTGACCAGCCTCAAAGCCCTCACCCTAACCGGAGATTCTGAACCCTAAACCCTAAACGTTAAACTGCACGTTAAATCCTAGTGGCTTGAAGGAATGTGCCTTGCCCCATCCCTTCATCTCTGGGTGCTTGGCAAAGAGATAGCTCAAGGCAAGGTCTGCTTGGGCTCCTGCCGGGACCTTGGGAACTGCAGAAGTATGGGTTCTATAATGGGGTCCGCTTTAAGGGAACTGTAGGGTTCTATGATAGGGTCTCCTTTTCAGGGAACTGTACGGTTCTATAATAGAAGACTAAACAACTTCACTGGGAATTTCAGGGTTTACGCTTTTGGGCTTACAGTTTGGGGGTTGAGGGGGTTGAGGGTTTATAGGGTTTAGGGTTTAGTGTTAAGCGTTTACGGTTTATGGTGGCAAGCTGGCAACCTAGACATTTTCTCGATATACCCGATGTGCGATGTACAATAGGATCTTTCATCCTACGTTGTTTGGTTCTGATAATAGCTCTAAATTAACACGAATATTACTGTTACTGATCATACATAAGCTGCTACTGGTACTACCAGAATTGGTAACAACACTTAACTGCCCCTTGCTCTCGAAATCCCTGAACTCTCTCCACCCCGAAACCCCCTTCAACCCTAAACCCTAATCTCCCTAAACTTCCTAAACCACCCCGAAAACTCCCTTCAACCCTAAACCCTAATGTCCCTAAACTTCCTAAAACACCCCACTCCCTAAACCCCAATCCCTCTAAACTTCCTGAAGCACCCCGAAACTCCCTAAACCCCAAATCTCCCCCAAAACTTCCCAAAGCCCTAACCACCCGAAACTTCCTAAACAGTAAGCTTCCCAAAGCCCTAAACCCTAAACCCGAAACCCGAAACTCCCTAAACCCTAAACCCTAAACCCTAAACCGGCACCTCGGTGAGCTTGCCGGCAATGGTCAAGCGTGCGCAGGGCGGGTCTTCGGCAGTGCTCTTGCAGCCAATGGCCTGGGCTCAATTCTGTCGACCCCCCCTTTGGGTTTATAAGGTTTTAAGGTTTCAGTTTTAAGGTTTAGTTAGGGTTTAGGGTTTAGGCTCAATTCTGTCGACCCCCCCTTAGGGATGGCTTCGGGTTTAGGTTTTAGTTAGGGTTCCGGGTTTTGGGTTTAATCAGGGTTTAGGGTTTAGGGCTTCGGGCTTTAGGATTTAATTAGGGTTTAGGGTTTAGGGCTTGGGCTGAATTCTGTCGACACTCATTCTGGATATAAGGCGTTTGAATCAGGGTGTAGGCTTTGGTGTGCACAACTTGTGGGTTTAGGTGTTAGGGTGTTTGTTGTTGACCCGAAATTTGGGTTTAGGCCTGAGTTCAGGTTTTTAGTCCGCGGGATCTTGGTGTTGTGTCAGCCAAGCGACCTTCTCGGAGAAAGTCAAGGTCATGCGGGGGTCTGCAAGTATGTCCTGTTCTTTGCTGCAAAAAGGGGCAGTGGGCTTTCCGCCCCACGGGACGTACAATGATACAACCCCTGGAAAATGAGAGAGTATCGCTAGATTCGGGATTTGCTTGTTCAGGGCTCAAGCTGTAGAGAGCTTCATGGTCTAGCATGTACGAGTAGGGCTTCACAAGGCTAACGAGACTTGCTCCCTGGGCCCGGAAAGGCTAATCTGTTCCTGGTATGTTCGGAGTTGGCAAACCCACAAAACGTTGAAGGCTACCTGCTCAGCCGCTGAATCTCCTGGGTTGCCGCATCCTCCGGCGGGAGGTAGGTGTAGACGATGCCAGTGGAGACCGTGTCAGTGCCATCGGCGATGGACATGATATCACCGAAGGGCTGCCCCTTAAAGGCACAGCCGAGGCGCTCACTAGCGCAGCTCGTGGACGAGACTGCGTAGTCACTGTTGTGCACCAGCCACCTTGCTACCTGCATCAGGAGCTGTTCCGGAGTTGCAGGACGAGGGCCTGCTTGCAACATCGAGCTTCAAGGCTTTCACAGCTTGCAAAGCTTCCCCTCGAACTACTGCGCCAAGTGGCCCTATCTTTTCATCCCTTTGAAAAAAGACCCCACCTTGACGTACTCTACAAAGGGAGGCCGAGGCGTGGTTCCGGCAGCACCACATAGCAGCGCGGCCACGGAGACAGCGCGAAAGCCAAACATCGCGCCCCTTCTACGTCCTTTCTGCTTGCTACTTCTTGGTCCTAGGTATCCTGGAGGCTCTTTGATGCGCGGAAGTTTGCCACGAGTTGAGACTCTGTGTGTTTGAAGTTCCCACTACCAGCGACGATCATCACGATAATTCTCATCACCATCATCACCACCATCACCATCATGATCACCACCGCTACCACCATCATCATCAACAACAACAACAACAGTTTGCTGTCGGAGTAGCAAAAGCAAAGACAAAACATGTCCTGATCCGTTCAATCAGGCACAGCACATCAGTAACTAGTTTGCAGTGTTGGCCCGACAACGAATCGTTGTTACTAGACTCGTGAACATCTGAAACTTCGTGTGATGCACTGGCCCCGCATATTTGGGCTTCTAACATTATCAAGACACGAAGCTTACTAATTTTGCTGTGCTTAGACACAATACTGTGCCTAACTAACAGTGTGCAAAGGCTTCGGTCCAGGGCCCCGGCCACCTGTTTAGACAGTCACGTTCCTGACGTCAATGGCGGAGGTGCCTTAGAGGTGAGATCCTAAACCCAAAGCCCTAAATCGGCAGCAAAGATTTCAACATCTGTCCTCGCAGAGACCCGGACCTAAATCCTAAACCCTAAACCCTCCACCCCGAGGCCCCAAAACCTTCTCAGAGGCTCTCATCCATTGCACAACCAAGCTCCCAGGACTCTTCCCAGAGAGCGTTAAGTCCGGACCGCCTGCACCCCAAAACCGAGTGTAGGCGCTGCTACTCAATAGTTAGACTAGGGTTTTGGGAGTAAGGTCAGGCAGACGTATACACGTATATACCTACATATATATATATATATGCATATATATATATATATATATATATGTATATGTGTGTATATATACAAATACAAATAGATAGATAGATAGATAGATAGACAGATAGACAACCAGATAGACAGATAGATAGACAGATAGATAGATAGATAGTTCAGTAGATAGATAGATAGATAGATAGATAGATAGATAGATAGGTAGATAGATAGATAGGTAGATAGGTAGACAGATAAATAGATAGATTGATAGATGCATAGATAGATAGATCGACCGATCGACAGACAGATAGAAGGATCTGTAGATAGGTAATTAGGGACGATAAGAGGACATCGCCCAACTTTTCCCGACGCCTATACAAACCCAAGGCCCTGAACTTCAAACCCACCCTAGACAATCCTCAGACCCCCAACCCAAAAAACCCAACCCGAAAACCTTAAACCCTAAACCCTAAACCCCTAAACCCTGAACCCCTAAACCCTAAAACCCAAACACTACACCCACATCATCCCGAATCCTGCTCTCCTCTCGGTTTAGGATTTACGGTTTAGGGTTTAGGGAACCACTAAACCCCCCAAACCCCTAAACCCCTAAACCCTAAAACCCCTAAACCCCCTAAACCCCAAAGCCCCTAAGCCCTAAACATCGGCGAACGAAGGTCCAAGAATCCATGACTCTGGGAAGTTCCATGCGTTGAAGCTTTAGGACCTGGCTGGCGTTAGGAGTTTAGGGGATTTAGGGGTTTTGGGGTTCGGTGATTTAGGGGTATAGAGGATGTAGGGGTTTAGGGGATTTAGGGGTTTAGGGTCTTAGGGGTTTAGGGGTTAGGGGTGTAGGGGTTTAGGGGTTTAGGGGTTTAGGGTTCAGGGGTTTTCATGTTGAGGGCTTTGGTATTTAAGGTAAGGGTTTAGGCATTTGGGTCAGGCTTTGGGATTAAGGGTCTCAGCTGTGCCGGGCTCAGGATGCTTTATGTTCAGGGTCCGGGGCTTAGCAGCGTTTAGTTTGGAGCTCAGGGCCTAGGGATTCTGGGTTCAGGGCCTAGGGCATAGGCTGCCGGGTTCACGTTTCAGTGTTTCGGTGGGGCAGTGGGTGTGGGGATTGAGAGTGGGTCGGGTGCAAAATTTATGCGCTAGCGGGATAGAGCTTCAGACATCTCTTCGATTCCGCACTTCGAAATACATGCCCGAATGCCCAGACAGCGAACTGGTATCGAGGCTTCACATTGTGACATCGCTCGGAGCCTAAAACCATAAAAAGCAACTCCATGGAAAGCCGGACGACGGTGCGGTGTCGAACTATGTGCCGTTTGCTGCGGATCTGTCATCGCCGTGACTGCAAATCGTGCACATGAGATGCTGCCTGGGCTCTCTCAAAAGCAGAGGCAACTGCAGAAATGCGTCGACCCAAGCACTTCGCTGGATTACATCTGCCCTCCTCGTCCCTGCCTCTGCAAGCTGGATGATCGTCGCCCTGAAAACCCGAAACATCACGCTAGCATGCTGAATCCAACAGTCTGTTATCCGGGAGCTTAAGCCCCCCCCACACATTTGCAACTTGAGGTTCCTTATCATAATTTCCTTAGGGTTTAGGGTTTAGGGTTTGGGGTACTTCACACCGTAAACAAGTAGGTTCTGAAGGCTACACTAAGGCCAACTCCTCAAAACCATGAACCCTGAGCGCTAAACTTGGAGGTCACGAACGGCTTGCCGTAAGCAAAGCTAAGCAGGGAATCTGAGTTCCTTGAAAGTCGGGCTCCCTTCTCCTGGGTTATCACAGCGAAGATCAAGCTCCCCGATCCCAGATCTTAAACCAAACCCTAAACCATGAACCCCAATCCCTGAACCCTAAACCCTAAACCCTGAACCCTAAACCCTAAACCGCAAACCCTAGACCTAAACCATAAACCCTAAACCCTAGACCTAAACCCAGACCCTCCCCTCAAACCTGCAAGGCAGGCATCCGGAGCTCCTCACCATGGTCTCCCGATCGTAGAGGCAGTGGGCGGAAGTTGCGCAAATCGAGCTATCCGTCTCTCTATCTATCTTTCGCTCTATCTTTCTATCTACTTATATACACAGATGCACACACACTTATACATGTGTATATATATATATACCCGAGTATAAATGTATGCATATGTATATATATATATATGTGTATATGTATATGTGTGTGTTTATGCATACATATATATATATACATACATTCATTTATTTGTTTATTTATTATGTAGAAACACGCAGACATGCCCATATACGCTCGCCGCCTCTGAGTGTGGGGAACACGCTCAGGTACACCACAGTATAACTGAAACTCTTGCACTGTTTGAAGTTCGCCTCGTTGTGCTCCGAACCACCCATTTTGAGACTCAGTTTTGGGTGGATTTGTGAATTTTTAATAACCGCAAGGTCATCGATGTTTACGGTAGCTTCTATGTGTTGTACATACCGAAGAAAGACAGAGGTGGATCATGGGAGGGGGGCCATATATATATATATATACACATACATGTATATATATATATATATATACACACATGTGTGTATATATACATATATATGTATAATATGTATATCGGATTCCAAGCTTGTTGGGTCCAGAGCCTTCTTCGGGCTGAGCGCGATCAGGCTCACTGGGCCTCGGGTTTATAGGCTGGAGTCGTGTAGGTCTTACTGGTTGAGGGTTCGGGGCTTTAGGGTTTAGGGATCTGGGGGGTTTAGGGTTTTGCAGTGGGGCTTTCGTCGGAAAACTGTTTATCCCAAAGCTCAAGAAGGAGGAACCACCCTCCCCCTACGGCCTCAAACCCCGATGCCCTAAACATTACAACCCAAAGCCCTAGAGGTCAAAATCCTCTCAGAAAATGCGCAAGATCCCGTAAACCCCGAACGGTGTGAAAGGATCAGGATGAACGAATCCCGACCCCTTGCTTCAGCAGCACACCTTTGACTTGATCATGAAACAAACACCACAATAGAAGGGGTCTAAGTACTTGGAACCGGGCCTTCGCGGTGAGCGATATTGGATATAGTCATTCAGATGTACCTTTCTGCATGCATATGCAAATGCATAAGAATGTATGTATGTAGGCATGTACTTACTGTTGTGTTATTGGCTTATGTTTGTTCATTTATACGAAAGGCTTCGAAAGGACTTTACGACTACTTACTCAGACTGCTACAGTTAGCCCCTATCCCTTCAAACCCTAAACCCGATCCCCTTAAACCCTGAACCCACATCCCCCACTATATCCCCTAAACCCCAAACCCACAACCCAAAACCCCAAACCCTACACCACAACCCTAAACCCCAAACCCCAAAGCGTACACCCTAAACCACAACCCAACACCCCAAACCGTACACCCTAAACCACAACCCTAAACCCCAAACCGTATGCCCTACACACTGGCCCCGCTCTGGGGCGCCTGGTAGTCTGCCAGCAAGCGGAGCATGGGCAAGTTGCCGTGAGGAATGGTGCCGCACGCAGCGGGCCCGGTCCACTTTATCCTGCTTACTTCCGGGTTTAGGGTTTAGGGTTTAGGGTTTGGGGTTTAGGGTTTAGGGTTTAGGGTTTAGGGTTTAGGGTTTGGGGTGGAAGGTCCCAGAGTCCAAGTGATACCCAAAGGGTCCTAAGTACCTATATAGGTAGAATGTAGGGCTTCTATATTAGGAATTCCATAACAGTACCTATAGGACCCTGTGGGATATTCTAGACTCTCAAGTCCAAAAACATCGATATCCACCATTTATAGCTTTGCTTTCTATGGCGAGTTAAGTTGCTCATCTTGCCTGGCTTGAAGCTTCGGGAGGTCTGGGGACTACGATAGGGGCCTTGATAATCAGAATAGGGTTTGGGGTATATTATATTATAATTATACTAAGGAATCCCCAAAACCCTATTCTAATTTATAAGACCCCTATATCAGAATAGGGTTACCGGGCTTGGGGTATATTATTTCAGGGTCCACCCCTGAACCCCTAAGACTCAACCCGTATCCGAAAAGACCTACCTTTTTAAGGCTCTCTCTCTCTCTATATTTATATAATATATATATATATATATATACATAATATATATATATATATATGTATATATATATATATAGAAACCATGATAAGGAATCCGAAAACAGGAAGTAATCTCTTCGGTCACAGGTAAGCCTTGCAAACCAAATCCCTCAACCCTGAAAC